GACGGCACGACTCGCCGGGGTTGGCGGCGGCGCCATTTTGAACTGGCTGAGGGTCGGAGGCGGCGGCTGCCGAGCAGGGTTCCGCGTCCCCGGAGGGAGAACCCGCGAGGAAGGAGCGGATATGGCCGCGAATAGGAACTTGAAGCAAGTGCGGATCGAAAACAGCTCCCCAGCGGCGCCGCTGGGCATGGTGGGGGGTGGCGGCGGCGGCAGCCTGAAAGGATTGCGCGGCCTAGAAGCGGAGAGTGAGGCGGCGGCGGCGGCCATGGCTCTGGCGCCGAGCAAAGAAGGTGGCGGAGATGAGGAGCAGGAGGTTGGGTTCACCATCGATATCAAGAGCTTTCTCAAACCTGGCGAGAAGAGCTACACGCAGCGTTGCCGGCTGTTCGTGGGGAATCTGCCTACTGATATCACCGAGGAGGATTTCAAGCGCCTTTTCGAGCGCTACGGGGAGCCCAGCGAGGTCTTCATCAATCGGGACCGTGGCTTCGGCTTCATCCGCCTGGTGAGGATCCGGGCGGGCCCCTGGGGCTGTCTCTGTAAGCAGGAGGCTTCAGTCCCCTGCCCCCCGCCCCCTTCCCCTCCTTTTCAGCGGGTGTGAAAAAAGGCAGCATCTGCCTCTCATTCTCTTCCTCCTCGCTGCTAGCGCTGGTCCCTCCGCCTCTCCTTTCTTCCCCCTCCCCTGTTCGCTTCTCCACATCCAAGCCAGACCCCCTGCATCAGAGTAATCCTACTAGCCCCTGGCGTTTCGGCCCCCGCCTTACCCCACGGCACTTAATACAGTTAATTTTAAAGAATGGACAGGATTGTTTCGAAATACAATCGTGAACACAGAACATAAAATCACGGAGTTGAAAAGGTTGCACACCGCGGGTTGTTTAAATTACTTGTGCCCGGATAAGACTAGATTTTTAGGGGTAATACAATATTTGATAAGGCATGCTCGAGTTAAGCATGCAAAAAAGGGAATCATCCGAAAAGCTTTTGATACTGTATTTAAATGGTAATTTAGTGTGCGAGATTAGTTTTCACGATTGCTGTTTAAAATGCACAGATTTGTATCATTTTGGGAATAGCTTTAAAGTGCTTTACGTGTCTGGTTATGATTTTTCAATATATTTTACTGATTAGGTTTTTTTTTTGTTTGTTTGATTTTTTGGTTGGGTTTTTTTTTTTTTCCTTTTTGCTTGACATCTTAAAATACTTGTGGCATTCTGCCGTACATCTTTTACCCTGAGAATTCCCCGGCCTGAAATAGCAATTTTATGGAGGAAGTGAGATATATTTGCATCTCGTTACTCATTTTTGTGTGTAATAGAGATTAGATTGAGTTTTTATGTGAACTTCCCTTTTCCATTATGTTTAGGGAATATACATACATGCATACATACACACATAAATACGATATATATATGTATGTATATGTGTATATATGTATATATATTTTAGCAGCTTGCCTAGCCAGTTGAACTGTGAAGAAAGATATAAAGAATGTCTTTAAATGTCAGGGATTGCTGCTGTCAAACCTGGTGAAGATTTTTGAAGTGAGAAAAAAGGTAGTTGTTGACTTACACATGTCTCATGGATGTGGGTGGAGAAAGCCCATTGATGTGAGACGAATGAATATATGGGCAAAGAAGGTAATTTCATCATTTGTTGATGAAATTTGAATTGGACGTCCATTGAGACCAAGTACTTACTTAAAAGCAAAACACCTTAGATCATGTAGTGTAATATTTGAATACCATTTCCTGCTGTGGGGGGGCTAGGGATGCAGAATTAGAAGCATTTGAGTAGGTAAATGTGAAAAGCGTCAGGTTTTCAACTCTACTCAAAACCTTTGTAGTTGCACCATTAAGTCCTCTAATTTGCAACAAAAAATTTGTGCCTATGTTGTTTTTTAGAATAAAACATAAGGGGTAATGAATGCATGTTTTCAATCAGAGGACAGGGACTTTGTTGGGTTTTTTGTTGTTGGTTTGTTTTGTTTTTTTTTTGTCTGGGGGGAAAAACATTGAATGATCCTGGTGCCAGTAGCTTAAGTGAAGGAAAACAACTTTGCTACTTTTGGAGGAGGGCACACAAAAGTGATATTTGTTGTCTTTGAAAATAAAAGATATAAATTATTTTATATCTTTATAAAGGAATCTAGGACCCTGGCTGAAATAGCAAAGGCAGAACTTGATGGTACTATTTTGAAGAGCAGACCACTTCGAATTCGATTTGCTACCCATGGAGCTGCCTTAACTGTGAAGAATTTGTCACCTGTGGTTTCCAACGAGCTCCTGGAACAAGCATTCTCACAATTCGGGCCAGTGGAAAGAGCGGTTGTTGTAGTGGATGATCGTGGCAGAGCTACAGGGAAGGGTTTTGTAGAGTTTGCAGCTAAACCTCCAGCACGGAAAGCTCTAGAAAGATGCAGTGATGGGGCATTCTTGCTTACAACGTAAGTTCACAGGTTTTTGTTTGAATTTGTGAGTATATCTTCCTGATGTGAGCAAAAATTGCATTCATGCTTTCCTAGTTCTTATTTTCTTTTCAAAATCTGAAAGCCATGACATTAGAAATTAAAGTGTTTTGCATGAATACCACAAATACTCTTTATTTTTTTTTAAAGAAAACCATCTTTCTTTGATTTCTGTTTATAGGATTTCTTATTACCATATGAGAGTCTGAGAGCAAAATTTGTATTTTTTTCTTGTTCATATGCAATATTACTTTTCCTTCACTATATAATATGGCATTTTCTGTTGAGACTTTATTTTCATTGGTTGCACTCTTCCTCATCCCAGTAACAAAGTAACAGAATAATATTCCTTCGTTTCTTAACAAAACAGTGCATGACATTGCTGGTATTTCTGTAGACTAAAGAAAGTGTTTTTATCTCAAAATGTATCTGTGGCTTAGAAGGCCAGGATTTTCTTGCTATTTAGAAATGAAGACTGAGATTCCGAAGAGGTTTGTACTAGTGATGTTTGGAAAACAGTCTATTTCAAGGACAAGCAAGCTTGCAAATAGCAGCACTTCTCTTGCATCTCCTATTTCTGTACTTGCCAAAGAGAGTTTAACTGCTGTACTTCACACAGTCACAAGTGACATTTTCAAATGCTTTCTTAAAAACTGCATGAAATGATACATATTTATGATTATTTTTTATTTTTCTGATTCTCACCGGGAAAATAAGGCTGTGGTTTCACAGCATGAAAAACTTGATGCCATTGAATTGGGCTTGGAGTTCTTTTCCTGCCTTGGCTGTGCTGTTCTTTTATGTGCTGGAGAACTAAATAAGTTCTTAATAAGTAATAAGATACTTTCGTAAGCCACTTGTGCTTGCTAAAACAACTGAGAAGTATTTATTTGTATGGGGGGTCCATTGCAGTCTGTTCAAGCACAGGAAGATGCTTGCTAATGTCAAGTCCAGCAGAGAATAAGGCAGGAGAAAATGTTGGCAGGTGACTAAGGGGTCTGGAACTCCAAATCTTGTGTGCTGGTGAACTGATTAGATGGTTACATAATTACATAGGGAATTTAATCTGAACACATCTCTACTGTTACAAGGAGCTGCCCGTAATTTATTCTTATTCCCTGGGTTTTCTTGGCATTAGTAATTTAATGGAAGTGCGGTGAGCCAAACAAGGGAAGCAATGTAGTTCAGTGTTACATGAGTGCTATTCTTGGCATGAGATATGTGGCAGGGAAAAAGAAACTGAGATACGAGGAGAAGGTATTCCTGTTTTACCGCCTGGATAGATCAGTTGAATTGAAATGACCATCTAACCATGGCCTGAGTGAATAAAAAGCACTTGATTGTTTTCTTGCTCAGGTGACTTGTTCCCTGATGCACAGTTGCAAAGATGATTAGCATGAATCTGCTACCATCAGATACTACACCTTTATGTTTTGCTTCAGAGTCTAAAGTTTTACCTTTTTTATCTGAAAACTCTTTGCCTGATCAGAACACCTTTCAGTTCCTGTTCAAATGTATCAAAAGTAGACATTGAAAACATTAGTGTTTTAACATTGTTGTTTTACATCATAACTTGTTAACACCACAGTTCAGTTACATTGAAATAGCAGAACTGTCAGCAACTGCCATGCACATAGCATCAGAAAAAACAGTTGCTGAGTGGTGCCCTGTGATTCTGGACTTCATCTTTTTAATAGGAACTTGAAGCCCAGAGTAGGCTTTGGGGGGGAGTCATTGGTTTGGTTTTGGTTTTTCTGTTTTGCTTTGTTTTGTTTTTTCTCATGAGGGGCATGGACAGTAGGGGAAGATCTGCAAAGTGAATTGAAGGCATGGAGCACAACAAAGTGCTGGTGTTTTGAATTTTGTGTCTGTAGTGTTCTGTGTTCTGTAATCTCTGCTCCCAAGACTGATGCAAAGAGCTTTTTACACTACTCAGAGTTCTTACGTTGCTCTCTTTGGCAGTACTGGCTCATGCTTACCTGTGGTTACTATGTATCAAGAAAGCTGTTTTTCAGAGATAATTTAGGATTCTAATTTGTGAGCATATGGTTGTTCCAATAATGGATTTGAAATAACTTAAACAGAAATGTTTTTCTTATTATCACTGTAATATTAATACCAAATTATCAAGCTGTTTTCAGTTGTAGAGTAACTAAAGCAAAACTAGTTGCAGAAGTCAGTAAAAATATGAATAGGTTGTGCTGCTCTGTTTTGGGTTTGGTGCTTTCCCAGAAAGTCATGGCCTCTGGTGCCTCACTGATAAAAACAGAAAGGTAATTCTTTCCTAAATAATTTGTAGTTATTGGTAGATGGTTTTGGTATTTAAAAAAAAAAAAAGGAAAGACACAGAACTGTGTCAAGTAAATTGTTGTTTCTAGGCTGAATAGCTGGATTTGGGCATAGAAACAATTATTTTCGGAAGGTAATTCTTAAGATTGGGATTCACTGGAATTCTGTGATTTAAGACAAGATACAGGAATTACATATTAGCTTTCTGGATTTCTGGATTTCTTCAGAATGCTAAAATGAGTTGTAATTGCTTCATTAATGATTCAGTTATTAAATTAAAAATGTTTCCCAGAACACCTCGACCTGTTGTTGTAGAACCAATGGAGCAATTTGATGATGAGGATGGACTCCCTGAGAAGCTAATGCAAAAAACACAACAGTACCACAAGTAAGTTGTGGTTAGCCTTTTTTATAAAATGTGATTTATGCACGTAGTTGCCTTTGTAAATATACACTAATGAATGAAATTAATTAAACTTTTGAGTTTGTGTAGCAGGAGGTAGTGCTTCTGTATGTTGTGTTGTTTTGTTTCAAAGGATTAAACAGGGCTTTCCCAAATTTCCTAATCATAATAAAATTTAGACATGGCTCGTTGGTTTAACATTCTGTGCATTTATTGTAGTAGAGAGGTTCTTGGCCTACACTGCATTTAGTGGAAGCTTGTTGCTAGCTTTTATGAATTAGAGGTGTGGTCTAATCCTGCAGAGATTTAGAATACCCACAGACCTTTATGTTCTCTGAATAGCCCCTGAACTATTTGCAGCCTCCCTGGCTTGTAAATCTTTGCACCTTCCACAGGTCAGGTAAAACTTGGAGCATGACATGAGAAAGTGAATCTCAATCATGAGATAAAAGACCCCTAATCTGAAAATACTAGTTTTTAGTATTGTAATTTGCCATTCATGTTGTTTGAATCTGAAATGTTTATGTTGGTAAGACTGTAGAACACCACTTCTTAAAAATTTGTCACTGGTAGGTACAGTATTAGTGTTAGAATGGGAAATGCAGGCTCATTTTAATGGGTACAGATTCTGGCTAATATTCTGGGCTGTCTAGTAAGCATTTATGTTTATTTGAATAACTGGTTTAGTGAATTGACTGCTTGATATAGAAGGCTGAACACTGTTAATCTAGTGTTGCAGCTTAGTCTTTTGTACTGATGTCAATACAAATTTTTATCTTATAATTAAATAAATTGAAATTTTATTTGGGCGATTTTTGGAAAATTGTCTTTTTACTTGTCTTAATGTCTGATGTAAGCTGTGTCTGGTTCAGAATGTAGTCATCTGACAGGTTAATGAAAAGTGAGATCTGCACTTGAAGTGATTATTTATACATTCTCTAGCTGTTATAGCTGTTGATCTAAATGTGTCCTTCTGTACATTTTTACTGCAAAATTTTTATTAGGGAAAGAGAACAGCCTCCACGCTTTGCTCAGCCTGGAACATTTGAGTTTGAGTATGCTTCGCGGTGGAAGGCTCTTGATGAGATGGAAAAGCAGCAGCGTGAACAGGTTGACAGGAATATTAGAGAAGCCAAAGAGAAACTCGAGGCAGAAATGGAAGCAGCTAGACATGAGCATCAGCTAATGCTGATGAGGCAAGGTAAAACCAGATAATCTACTAGTATTAAATTTGTTTTGTCACAGATATTTTTCTTTTGTTTAGCATATTGAGCTGTATACTTGGACATTTTGCTGGTCACCATTTAATTAAATGCATTTAACTAAGAAAAAGGAATACTTCTCTATGCACATATTCCTTGATGATTTGCAGAAATTAAGCACCTGATAAAGAGGTGATTGTCTAAGTCTCTTTTTCTTCACTTTCTATCTAAATATCTAAATTTATCTTGAGGAAAAAGTTTACTTAGCCTATTTTTCCTGAATAGGAACATGTGCTCGCAATGTGGAGCCATGCTGTTTTTCTGAGGTTCTGTGCAGAGCATGAGGTCTTGTGCAGAAGATAATAACATAAAAACATAATATATAATAACATAAAGAGCATGAGGTTTTATAGAAGGTGTAATAACATATATATATAATGTTATATATATAACATATATGTTCAAAACAAAAAACTGTTTTGAAATGCCAGATAGTTGCTGCAGCACCTGAAATGACAACTATTTCTTGATTTATTTTCCAAGAAAAACTGTTAAAAGCATTTAATTTCCTTGTAAGCACAGGTGTATATTAGAGGTGAGGAATGTGCATGTTAATATGATCCAAGAATGTTGCTGACAATACAGTACAGCCCTCCCCTGGCAGCTAGACACACAGTGTAATTTTGTGTGTGTGACTGACATTTGTAAAGATAGTTCAGTGCCTAAGATAAAGGTTGGATAAATCTACTCTTGACTTACCTAATTGTTAATACTTAAAAGTGTTATAATCCAGTTCCAGAATTTATGCTCTTTAATTTCCTTTGAATTTATTCACCTGTTGCCTGTACTTGAGGGCAAGAGTAGAGATTACTTTGTCCTAAATTCATGTCTTAATTACATGTTAAACTGAGACAAGATTACGATGGCCTCTTCATTAAGATAGAAAAACAATTGATGGTGAAACATGGGAAAACATCTTTCATGTGTTTTTGGATATTAGGGTTTCTTTTAAGGACAACATGAAGGAAAAGATATTCTGCTTTTTCAATATTTGTTAAATGCCAGTTTTATATGAAAAATGAGAGCATCATTCCTTCCATTAAAGAGCCACTAAAACATGAATGTATGTGTGAATTCCAGTGAGAAAATATGGTTTTTTTTAGTGTAGGGGGAGGGATTTTTCCCTCTCACAGTTTGGTTCGCAGAGTACCTCTTTGGTACCAGGTAAACTTAGAATTTTGTTACAATAATTAGGTTTCTTCTTAGTTGCCTGCTGACATTTAATTTTCAGGGATCTAGGGATTAATAAGTATTCCTCTGTTTTAATCTTCTGAATCTTTGGCTTCACTCTGCATTTAAATAAGGTGCTTTTTTCACTTGCATTTATTTTCAAAGATTAGCTTCCTCTTGTTGCTCTGAACAGTGTGGGTTTAAGTTCATGCCATTCCAAGAATATTGATTATATTAATGAGATGCATCATATGATGCTGTAGAAAGATGCAGTGAAGTTTCTAAGGCACCAGAACCTAGAATTAATACTTTTGTATCCCTGGTGCACAAAGTCAAAATTAAAGATGTTTTGAAGCAGTCATTATGAAACATGAAATAAAATATAAAGTGTCATGTTTTAGTTGTGGAGTTAAGAAGACAGGAAAGATGAGCTTACCTGGTCCATGTACTCTAGCAGGTGAAGGTTGTGTTGAAACTGCTTCATGAGAACTAATAGGACTGTAGCTTTCATGAGCTACATGTTGGTTTGAGTACTCAGGTTTTTGTATTGTGATATTAATTCTGAAGGTAGATTTAATTCTTTTGATATGTGTAATTTTTCACTTTTAAGTGTCATATTTTGACAGACTGAGTCAGAAGTAATTTGTAAAGCAGAATACCTGTTTGCGTGTGTAAGTAAATTGCATGGTATTTCTCATCTATGTACTGGTGGTATACATCAAACATTTGTAAATATTTCTCATAACAATGGTTAAATAGATTAAGAAAACACTGGAAAACATGACTGAATTTATCAGAAGCTTAATTTTTTAATCAGTTATATGGGAACTTGGCATTTATTTTCCATCTTGAGAACCTGAAAAATCAGCAGCTTAAACTGCTTAAAAGTCTTTGTGAAGCTGATATTCCAGTTTGTAGGATTTACTTCTGAGGTGAGAGAACACCTTCACATTCTGCCCTCTGCTATGTAGAAGGTTGAAGGTAAAATGAAGACCTTGCCCTTTTATAAGCACAAGAAAGTGCAGAGGCTAATAATAATGCTCTCTCTTTGTTTTCTCTTTTTCCCACAGCTGCTTTAGTGCAGATTTTTTCTGTTCAGAGGAAGGGCCTGTCAGTCAAGAATTACCATCATTATAGGTCTTCTAATATGAATGGCTCTTGTGCGGAGTTTGAACCTCTATAACTGTGTTTTCACCGGGCCTAGTAAGGCTTTCTGCCAAGATTTGGCAGTTGTCAAATGATACTGAATCTTAATTTTCTTTGTTGAATCTTTAACATAGTAACAATTTCCAGAAAGGCAATAAGCTATGCTATAAAGAAAAATTAGGAGAACACTGAGAAAAGTAGAGTGCTACATCTTAAGAGCAAAGGGGACAGTAAATTATATTGGTAGAGAGAAAGTATGAAATCCTGTGCCTGTGCACACAGGCACAAGAAATAGGGAATGCTATATAAATTTGAAAGAACAAAGAACTGAAAAAGAAACATCTTTTCCCACAGTGGACAATGTTACAGAATGGGTTAGTTCTTGATCTCAGTAATACCATAATCATGCTAAAGGTTAATTTGAAAAGTACACTTGTACTCTGAAATAACCTATAGGTTATTTAAAAGCAAAAAAAAAGTGTGCTTGTGACGCTGCCCAATGATCAGAATACCAGTGGCCTGGCCTTCTATGGCACGCACAGCTGGAAAGAAGCAGCTCTCAGACTTTGTGATTTGAGTGAATCTTCAGTGTAGTCCTAGTCTATATAAGTGTGAAATTTGTTAATTTTGCAGGAAAGAATAGAAAAGCAATCCTGTAAAATATGCTTGAAAAAGGACTTCTAATGTCAACAGAGATGTTGTGGGAATAAATATCTGATAATAATCTTGGTTCAAAAAGAAAACAAATACATTATATTTTGGCAGAATGTACTGGCTGTTGTAATTTTTGGATAATAAAGTAAAATTTGAAGTTGTAATGATTTATGCTGATGCAAGTTTGAGGAAACCGATTTGCGTGGCTAAAAAGATACTTTAATTAGTGTAGTGAAGAAATGTGTAGTGAAAATGTGCAGAACAGTTGAACTAAAGCATAAAAGGCATGCAATAGGTGGCGTGGTAAGATGTTACTTGTGGTTTCTATAAATAGTATCATGTGGCCAATGTCCTTCCTATATAGTTAAAAAATAAAAAAAAAAAAGCCGTTTTCTAAGAAATGGTGAAATTATTATTTATTGAAGAAAGTATAAATTTCCAGGCAGAAATCAATAATGTGACTGGTCAGCAAAAGTAATTACTGTGAGTTATGCCCTTTTTAAGGGCATTCTAAGTGCTTCTTAGGTGGCTATGGCTGTGCCTTTTTTGTGGGGTCAAAACACTAGTCATTTTTAAGTTGCAGTAAGCAGAGTTGTGATAGGTCTTCATGGAGGCTCAGACTTCATGCACATGAAGTTCATATGACTTTTCTGATGTGTGCCATGAAGTAGGTAGTGGAGAGTGTAAAAGTCCATGAATCTTGCAGTAGTTTCCTTAGTATTTTTACTTTATCAGTATACGTACAGCATTGTGAGAAAACTGATGCAGTATCCTAGATGTAAAACTAGGATGTGATTTAAGGGATTGAGAGAGGTTTTTTTTTCCCTTTTCTTTGTGAACTTAAAACTTCTGTTTCTGTTACCTACTCTGGGGGCTTTGCCCCTTTTCTACCTTTCTGTGTTTGTAAGCCACAGATCCAGGGGGTTTTCAAGTACTAGACTTAGCTTTATGGAAAGAAACGAGTTAAATGCATTGAAAATTTTGTTTAAAAAATTGAATGTTAGAACTGTAATCTGACAGTAATAACAATTCTTGTGATTTTTGTTGCCACATTATTGATTGACAGCTTTTATATTTAAATACGCTTTTAATCCTGTTAGATCTCATGCGTCGTCAAGAAGAATTGAGGCGCTTGGAAGAACTTCGAAATCAAGAACTTCAAAAACGCAAGCAGATACAATTGAGGTATTTTGTCTTCTACTGTGCAGAGGTGTGGCATGCAGCCACTGTAGGCCTGCATGAATTTGGATATGTTAGCTAAACTTGCTTCTCGAAAGCATAATGTCTGATGTTTCTGATAACGTAATGCTGATATAAAAGATTGGTTTCAAGTGTTGCTTGATTTTTTTCACTTATTTCAGCTCTGCTAGGTTTGTTATAAATTTCTGAGGTTTCTAAATAGCATAGAAATATCTTAGACTATTTTTTTGTTTCATATTTATTTTAACATGAGTGAAGCATTGCTGTAATAGGAACAGGCTTCTAAATTTTATGGGTAGGTGATCTGCTTAGAGAATCATAGCATTGCAGTCTTATAGTCTGACATGGGATTTTGGAAGTTATTTTCACTTGATGTTCTGGTATGTTGAAAACAATTTTTCATTTAGAACTTGATTCATGGGAAAAAATGTTTTAATGCCTTTTCTAAAGTTTAAGAAAATAGACATAGTCTCATCATGTTGATTTATACTTTTTGTGTTAAATATCACAATAAATATCAGATAAAAAAATCAGCACAAATGCATCTCAGAATTAAAAATGTATATTTTGGCACTGTCCAAGTTTTAATCCATTGTGGCTTTTTAAAAATGGAAATATTTTAAGCTGTTTACTGATATATAGCTGGAAGAGTAGGTATAGAATGTATTGGTATTGAAATTACTTGTATTCCAGTAAAAAAGCCAGACTAAAACTTCAAAAGTACTCAAACTCATCAAGTTGAGTAGATTAGTGCCTTACACTATGTAAAAAATAATTAATGACCAGTTCTGTTTATATGCTTGATGTTACCTCTGAGACTGAGTGCAAGCCTGAACAGGTCAAGCGACTAAGCTGACATAATTTTGAATGATACCCTAGACATGAAGAAGAACACAGACGTCGTGAAGAAGAGATGCTACGCCAGAGGGAGCAGGAAGAGTTACGACGACAGCAGGAGGGAGGATTTAAGCCAAATTTCATGGATAATGTAAGTACAGTTCTATGGTGAAAGTCCAAATTGCAAAAGAGTTTTTTCATTGGATCTTTTTTTGCTTGTTATTGAACTGCCATCCTCCTGTTGGCTGTTTTCACCTCAGTATTTCTTCTCCTGAGTGAATTGCTACATATTCAGTAGTGTAGTTGCTCTTTTGTGTGATGACATCACTGTTATTTTCCCTTCAAGCTGGTGATATAACACTTCTGTTAAGTGAAGGTGTTCAGATACTTATTTTGTTTACTTGGGAATTGAAATGTTTCAGTAAAATAGTCTTTCTAAGTGGGAGGTGATAGGAATCACCCATCCTGATGTGCCCAACTTTGCCTGAAGGTTTAAATTTTTAACCAATTCATGCCGCTAAGCTTGTTTGAATTACTGGTTTTGGTTTATGCTTAACTTACTAAGAAAGTTTTCAGAAACAAAAAGGGCGATGTTAATTTCCTATGGAGCCTAAAATTGCTCTCCCTTTTGACCCTGTGTAAAACTATATGACGAGAACATCCAAATCATTACTAAAGGAGACTGAAAGATTATAAAGTTGAGGGGAAATTTCTCCTCTGCTATAATCTGTACATTATTTATATTAGTAATTTAGGCATGCTCTGTCTCTGAAGACTCATCTTGCACGATTAACAAAATGGTGCTATCGAAGGAGTCAGCTTCTAAATTTTTTGGTCAAAGGGTATGACTTTTTTCCTACTGACCAGATCAGTTCAGTGAATGCAAACTCTGTTGTAAATGCTTCAGTTTTCTCTTGAGTAGGATACCTTTTACTATTACAGCTATTCATACTGAGGAGATAATGTACAATGCTCTTTTACATTATTGAAACAACTATAGTCTGCAGGAGGGGATTTTGCTCCCCTTCCACAAGTGCAACTTCATACATCAATCAGAAATGAAGTGCTGTTTTCTCAGCTACTTCCTGTGAAAGAAAAACCTATTTTACATTCTATATCATGAATTTTCTGTAGAATTTATTATGTTCTGAGACATCCTGAGAGATCCTAAAAAATAAATGATTTCCTATTCTCAGTTTTTCCCCCTTAGTGTTTTTAGTAAAGATGGGGAGAAAGCAAAATAGTTGCTTTGATTTTACCGACAGGTATAATACATTTTTGCTCACCGTGTTTTGAGGGACTCACATCCAAAAGCAGATGGTAATTTATTTCCATATGTTCTGACTCTAAAAGAAAACTGCTTTCGGCACGTCTTTTCTTCAGGGTGATGAAGTCCAAGAATTCAGAACTCGTACTGTCCTTTAGTGTGTTCTAAATATTATTAAACATAATTGGGGAAATAGCATGTAACAGTTGTCTGATATAATTTAGTAGTAGTACTTACTTATGACTTCTGTAGTGCCAAATGTGAAATTTCATATAGCTGTAGTATCTTAACATAGCATCTTTTGGGGTTGCCTGACTTTCTGTCCCTGTAAGCTACTTGTTAAAACCTCCTGGCTCCTCTGTGAGACCTGTGCTGCTTGCTGCAAAGAGCTGTAGTAATAGGAAGCTGGGGAACCAACCCACAGCCCTGTCATGGCAGTAGCTCCCTCACATTCCATTGCTGTTAGGAGGTTGTGGCCTGTATTCTGCAGCTTGGAGTGGGGAAAACTAGATAATGGTAAAGGCCACCACAACCTTTATTGGTTTAATCTTACATATGTCTTGATATTATAGTATTTAGTCTCTGTGCTTAAATCGCTAACCACAGTTTCTCCATCCATGTTGCTTATCTACATTTTTAAATTCCAAACCATATATGAATAGAAACTGTTAAAGTTGGTGTGCAGGACTTGGCAAGAATGTAAGATTAGAGAGGAAGAAGAGTGGTTCAAATAGAAAGCGCAAATGGAAATCACTGTGCATAATTGTTATGAATTTTATACATCAAATTTTTGGAGTGGAAGGGTTAAGGGTGGAAGACTGCTTTGCAAGGGTGTAGCTTTCCTCCTCTCATGCATTTCTGAAATTGTGTGTTCATCTGGACTTAACACACTGCAAGAAGATACAGATGTAGTTTTGCAGTAACAGCCCTACCAAAAACGTTTTAACTTACATGTAAAGGACTGTAGAGTACAGGTGGTGTTTTTTAAACATTGTATGAAATTGCAGTGGCATATACAATAATACATTAAAAAAGTGTGTTCTCTGGACTAGTCTTTAGTATTCTGGTTATGTCTTGACTTTGGTTTTACTTCAACTTTAAAAGAGGAAAAATTGAAACAAAGTGGCAAGTGACGTGTTTACTTTCTTTAGCAACAGTTTCTAATCAGGGCAGCTGTGTGTCTAAGCATGCCTATCATTTTATAGATGCTTGTTATAAAATGTTTTTAGATAACTGTAGTTATGTAGTGTGAATGGGAATTGAAAAAGCCTTTGCATTTTGCAGCAGAGAAAAACTGTAAATCTTTTCTAGAGATTGAAAAATGACACATGAAATCTGATTTCAACTTAGAATTTCTTATGCAAATAACTTGCTTTTATTTGTTCTTACTAATACTTATTTACTGTGAACAGATTCCATCTTGCACTTACTTCTACTCTCAGATCACCATTATACAAGTACTGAGAAAGTTATTCTCTATTTTCAGAGGTTAAAAGTTGACTCTTGGTGAGAATTTCATTTTTTTGATACTGTTGGATAGTTTTTTACCTTATCAAGTCTTGATAAACTCTACTGGCATTATACTTGCAACATATTACAGCCTTCTGCCAACAATGTATTTAGTAGGGCAATAATAATTGTTTCTAATCCTTCTTTTTGTTTCTTAAAAGCTTTGAAAAGTAAGCTTCCTTCACTTATACCCTATCACTTTTTACTGGTCAGTCTAAAACAGGAAGATAATGGTAAGTGCAATGGCAACCAGAATTGGACCCTCTCATGTAAGGCTGCAGTATTAGGCTTTCCTGTTGAACTTTTCTATCTGTGTCTTTTCCCTAACTCATTAAACTTAAATTTTTTAAAAAACAGAACTACTTTTGAAAAACATCTTGTAGTCAAGTCTAATGCAGCTAGCGGTTACTTGATTTTGTTAATGATGATAGAAATATTTTCCCTGAGAGGATTTCTTTTCCTGAAGCGTTCTTGTTGATGGTGATGATGAACATTAGAAATTTGATTGCATTGACTGTTAATCTATGGGCAGCCTCATGATGCCTAAACAATTTATTAATCTAGTTATGTGACCCCCACTAGATAAATTAATAAACACTTTCGTATTGGTTAGGGTTTTTCCCTTCCTTTTTAAAAGTCAGTTAGTTGAAGTGTTCTCTTATAGCTCAATACTTCACATGCATTCTGATTTCACAGTAGCTTTATTGGGAAACTAGTTTTCCAGTAGTATTTTGCTAATTTTTATTTTACATTATTCTGGCTGAAAGAGGAACTGGCTGATGGTGATTTATTTTGCAACACAAAAATATTTCTTAAAAAGAAAATCCTTCTGAGTGCCAGTAACACACTAATTACTCAAACATGCAATGGTTATTATCCAGTTAGGGATGGCTTGCTTGGATTTACATTATTGGATCTCAATCAGAGCCATTTTACAAAATAATTCCAGTTCCAAGACTTGCTTTTATTTGTGTCACCAGCTTAGTGGTTTGGATTTAGTGTATTAAAATATTTTCTATGTGTCTAAGACAACAAAAATATATGAGTACTAGTTTTGTATGCATGGATTTACTTCTGTAGTAAAACTGAAATAGTGTCAGGTGGGTATTGTACTTAGTGAAACACTAGCTGCAATACCAGCCTAAAATTTACAGATCTTCTTACTGATAGTTTAAAGAGGGAATTGAGAATTCTGGATGTCCTTGCCTACTTCCCTCCAAGGAAAACCGCTTTTTGAATGTGTAAGGGACTGTTGTTTGAGAATTCATCAGTTTCAATTTCTGAATGCTTGCTGTTTTTTCATGTAAGACTTTGTATATGAAATACTTTTATTTTTCATCTAGTCTTTTCAGGAATTATTTCTGGAGGTTGTTTTGCTTTCCTTTAGTTTTCCTTGCAGAAGCACTGCTCTCAAGTATGTTGAGTAATTATCAGCATAAAGTGTCAGCTGCTAAAGCAGTGGAGATGCTTCAACAGCTGCGGTTGTAGTGGACTTGGATCAAGAGCTGTAAGACAGATAAGAAGAAGAAAGTAAAAAAGCACATTGCAAAACAGCAAAGATGTTTATAACTTCAGGAATGCCAATGTAACATAGTTTTTGTTCTAAGTTTGGTCCTTTGGAGCAGTTTATAAATGAAGCTTTCCATTTCTTACTGTTCGGAGCTCTATTGAGGCTTGTCTTAGCCCTCACTTCTATGTTCATTTGCAGGTTAAGCATTAGACATGCTTGAAACAAGACTATCAGATTTCCTTGAACTTTAGTAATTCAGGACTAGATTTTTGCACTTCCTGCCTGTTCAAGTGAATAGAACTGGTTTTTGATCCCGTCTTCTCATAGCATTTTGCTCAAAAGCTCCAGTAATGTAAGCAATTGGAATTTTCACTGAATGGTGAATTGTTTCCTACCTAACTCAAAACTAAACTAAGGCAGATGCCCAATAATAAATTATGAAACATTTTTAAGAATCTTTTCCATTTTGGTAAGTTTTCTAACAATAAATGTTGGCTATTTTATCCTGACAGCCTTGTATACTTAATGAAGTTAATGATGGTGAAGTTTTGTAAGTTTGTATGAATAAAATCTCAGTTTCTTGCTGCTTTATAAAAGCTCTTTTGTAGAGCGTGATTGGGCAAGATGAATTGCATCCATACTGCAGTCCAGCATACATAGTTCATGTGTGACACCTTAAAGACTTTTTAAGGTAAAACTAGCTTGGAAAAAGACAAATCATTAAATGTAGACTAAAACACACCAACCTAACCAAATAGTCCTGCTTTTCTAGGCAGTGGTTTTACTTCAGTGGTCACGTTTCTTCCTATGCATATATCAACACAGGATAGGCCTTTTAGCAAGCACCCTGTAAATATGCAGTTTG